TCACAAAGAACCAATAACTCCTCCACTGAGGCTCAAACTCATAACCTTCCAAATGGAAGTCCAACCCGGGTACCATTAAACCACATAGTCTTGGTACCTTACCTTATCATTGTTTATTTGATTTCTTTCTATGTTTCTTTGGAGATTCATCTTGTACTAGTGCATGCTGGCCTACATTGACTAAATTTTGTGGCAAATAAACAATCCAGCTCCACCGTCACCACATTCTGTTCTTGTGGCATGGATAATTGTGTATATAGTACTCACTCGTGTATATTCCAGACCTAGGATTAAATCCATGACTATTCATTATAACTTTCAAGGATGGAGAAGTTGAAACTGAAAATAAAAAATTGAGTTACATTAAAAGACACAAGTACTTAGCCTATGTGTTTAGTCTTGAAGTGAACTTTTGGATGACTTGGACAGTGTGTAGAGGCAGTTGGAATTTATGAGGTTGTTTACTGCTACTTTTAGAGCACTGCAATATTTGTTACTATATAAACAATTAAACATATAAACTATTGCTTAATCTTGCTTTTGTTGAATCATTCTGTTTATTTCTGTTCTGAATTATGATTGGTTTATTCTTGCTGTTCTAGGAGTTTTCTTTGGTATCTGCAATCAAGAAAGCAAAATGCTTGGAGAAGAGGTGAATTGAAGTTCCTTTAGTGGCAGTCATCATATTTTATAATTAATTTTACCTTTTTTTTTTTCCACTGTTGGTTAAAATTGTTTAGGTAATGTACTAATGTGTTAACTTATATATTTGGATGGATTGTGAGAGTATTGTATGTGTTGAAAATATTGTATTGATCAATGATTAGTATTGTGTTTATAATATTGTGTTGATATGTAATTTGTGAATATAATTTTGTACAGGATTTTCAAAAAAATTTGGGAATTTTGAAAATAATAAATTAATTTTAAAATAAAAATCCGCTACCAGTAGCGGATGAATTAGAAAAAAAATTATATAATAGCATCCGCTACCCTTCTATCAATAGAAGGGTAGAGGATGCTTAACAAATTTTAGAGGAATCCGCTACCCTTCTGTTTGAAGAAGGGTAGCGGATAGTCAATTATCCGCTACTGTCCTACAAGGGACGCGGAAACCTCAAGGCTTTCCGCGTCCCCCACATCCGCTACCCTTGTACAAGGGTAGCAGAAAGCCTTATACAAGGGTAGCGGATGTGCAGATCTGTACTAGTGCCAACCCTAAGGGCCCCACACTCCGGCCCGACAGAGCGGTGGGAGGTTGTAAATCATGGTGACTCAACTGAACATTAATCACAGAGGCTAGACCGGTGCTCACTGCGCACAAGGAACCCCCCTCACTTTGAGAGGTTGCTCCCACACTTCGAACTACAATATCATTGTGTTACAACTGTGTGTGTTGCTCCTTATTTATTTAAATTGGTATCAGAATAGGCAACTAAAATTACTAGACAGATTCTAAAACATCTGAAGGAAAGATACAATGAATTTTACAAAAGGACTATCAAATAGAAGACCAGCATCTCTAAACAGTGTTAATTATATATATACTTATTGGAAAGCAAGGATGAGAGTTTATATACTGTCCGAAGCTGAAAAGCTTGGAGAGCTGTTGTGCAAGGATGGCAACCACCCACTCATGAGAAAGGTGACACTAAACAAGGAAAGACTGGTCTAAAGAAGAAATCAAAGAATCCAATTATAATTCAAGAGCAATGAATGCCATATACGGTGTTGTCGACAAGAAACCCTCAAACTTATATCTAAACCAGATATAGCCAAAGAAGCCTAGGATATCTTAGGTAATCATCACAAAGAAAATACTATTGCTATTTGCTAAACAATCAAAGCTACAAATGATCCAAACACAATTCGAAAATCTAAGAATGAAAGAAGATGCAAAATATCACCCAATTCAATGCAAGAATCTTTTATATATATATATATATATATATATATATATATATATATATATATATATATATAGATTTTGGTTCATGTGAGGTCATGTCTTCCCGTGCGGTCAGTGCGGCATACACCATTAGGTATGTATAAATGCACCATACAGTGTTCGAAAATACACCAGAATGAAATGTCAAAAAATACACCACAAAAAAAAAAAAATACACCACACATAATGGTGTATTTTCGAACACTGTGTGGTGCATTTTTACATACCTAATGGTGTATGCCGCACTGACCGCACGGGAAGACCTGACCTCACAGGAACCTGACCCTATATATATATATATATATATATATATATATATATATCCGGAGCCTTATACAATCTAGAAGAACCCATTCCTGGACCAAAATTAGTTAAGATGGTAATCCGATCCTTGAGAGATATATGATAAGGTCATAGCCATTCAAGAAAGCACAAACCTGAGGAATCTTCAAACATATGGACTTGAAATGCTTCAAAGAAAACCAAACAACAAAAGGACTAGCCTTTAGAATGCCATGAAAAAAAAAAGATACCTAATATAACTAAAGAAAATATTATCCTCTTATTTGTGGAATTCAAGTTTTCCTATGATTTTGGGTGTTTTTAATTTGAGCCCATGAGTTTAAAAGTTATCAATTTTAGTCTATAACTTTTCATACCCCAAATGGACAAATGCAAATCAAATTCCAACTAGAAATGATATCGAAAAGGCTTGATTCAAGCCCGAGCTTGTGTGCACCAGCACGAATGTCGTTCAGAAATTGGCAGACCTTGCGGGCTAAGTTATGCCAAACTTCGGTATCATTTCCATATAGTCACTTGGTTCGGCCGAAACCGAGAGCACGAGAGATGCACTCTCTGTCGTGTCCTGAACAGCGAACCTGCACGCCAAATTCCAACTAGAAATGAGATCGAAAAGGCTTGATTCAAGCCCGAGCTCGTGTGCGCTAGCACGAATGTCGTCCGGAAATTGACAGGCCTTGCGGGCTAAGTTATGCCAAACTTCGGTATCATTTCAATATAGTCACTTGGTTCGGCCGAAACCGAGAGCACGAGAGATGCACTCTCTCTCGTGTCCTGAACAGTGAACCTGCGCGCCAAAGTTCAGCCTATTGTGAAGATTAAATTCATCTGTTACGGAATTAATACTGTTTTAATTCCAATTTTTGAATTCTGAATTTAATCTTTCTGTTAGTGGGTGGTTGTTACAGGTGTTACACAATTGGTTTTAATACCAATTAATGCCATGTTGAATTCTACCACTCCAACAGCCCTATATGAAGAGAGGTAGAACAGTAGCATTTTACACAAAACAAGAAATTAAACAAAGGAATTCCAGTACGTTTTAGCTTCCAAACACTCTGCTTCTACTCTCTTCTTTAGCCAACTGTGTTCTCACTTTGCTTTGTTTGCCGGGTTCTTTGTTTGGGTGCTTAAACAAAGAATCGTAGCACGTTTTATCCTGGAAAACCTAGGCTACAACGCTCTTAGCACTCGTGGGAGGTAGCAAATAAGATTTTAAGGAAAAGAACAATCTGTTCAAACTTGTGCTAACCCTTACCCAAATTTTTCCACCTTTTCCTTCCCAAATTTTTCTATTTTCCCATATAATAATAATCTTTCCGTAGGATTATTATTTTAGGATTTTCCCACTTTATTACCCAACAGTGAGTTCCACCGTGACCACGCGTCCAGTAACCTTTCCTAAGTAGTTATTTTTAGAAAAATTTTCATTCTCTACTTTCTCTCCGCGGTTTTCTTAGATCCAAACATTTCATTTGTGTAATCAATACAACTTTGAAGAAGATTTGAAGAGCATTTCCAGATTTCATTATGCAATTTAGAGATTTTAATCATTTTCCCTAATTCTTAATCCAAGCTAAGTATTTCTTATTTCTTTTGCATTTTCTTTTTTCTAATTGTGATTGCAATTTCTCTTATTTCAATTGATGTTTTCATTTACATTCCTTAAGAAGAATAGCTAGATTCAATTAGTGATTGGATTAAGTCATCCATGAGAATAGAGCAACACAATAGTCACATCTCTCATTAGTCCAACACACCTTTGAGAAAAGGGAGTTGGGAGGAGACATGAACATGCATCACGTGTTTGATAAAATGCTTCAATTGACTTGAGTCACCATGGGAGTAGAGCTTAATTTCAATTTCATATGCGATATTCAACTTTTAGTCTTCTTTTTTTCAAAACAATCCTTCATATCTTAGTATTATTATGACATGACTATATTTCATCCTTTCATCAACAATCATGTTTAAATGACTTTAAATATGAAGGTATTTCATTTTCAAAAAAAAAATGAAGGTATTTCATTTTCAAAAAAAAAAAATGAAGGTATTTCAACATATTCAGTTCTAAGTGTTTATTCCTTTTCTTGGTCTTAAATTTATGTGTCATTCCACTATTGCAGAGGCATAGATTGTGCATGCGATGCTGTGGAGGCACATATTGCAATACGGAGAACAAAAAATTGTCATGTCATAATAATACTATGGTCAATAGAAATTGATAAAAAAAAAAGGACTAAAAATGAAATTACACCTATAAATCGAGTAATAAAAATGGAATTAATTCCATTTATTTTTGGTGATATTAGTCAAAATTATTTGTTTTAATATTTTATACTCTTTTATACTAATTCACATATCGGCATATAAAACACCAATTGGTATATAGTATATTAAGATAAGAGAAATTTGACCCACAGATTTTACAGTAAACCACAAAAATGGTAGCCCATAGTGAGGTAGATGAAAATAGGACATTACTGATTTATTGTGCACCTAATGCTAATTAAAAGTTATAGGTTTATTATTATGATAAAAGCTAAGTTATAACTAAAAAAAATGGGTTGGTCTATTTTAAAGACTTTCTATTATGCCTTGCAATAGAAAGTTAGTGGCAAGCTTGATGTTACTTTTTCCTATAAATAGCTATCACATCCAGAGCATTCTCATCAAAACACATATATCTATATCACTTATTCCATATCATATATTCCATATCATCATATATACTAACTATATATCTTCAATGGCCCTTAGTTTTGATTTGAGATTGGGTGTTGTTGCAGCCCTTTTCCTGTTTGGGGCATGGGCATCTCAAGCCGCTGCCCAAGAAACATCCATTCCGAGGCCAGAGAAGCCAATTAAAACTATGAAGGAGACCCTAGTGGTTAGTTCATCACCGGCGTCGCCCACTACGACTACGCCACCGGTTCAGAGTTCTGTGGCCCGGATAAACACTCGTGTTCAGATGGCTGATTCCATAGTCCAACCCCAGCCTGGAAACTGCGGTAACTATTAACAATCACACACTACCTTTTAAGTATGTAAATTGCGAGATTTGTCTCGGTGATTGTATTTTTTTCAAGACTGAAATCCTAATCTATATTGATTTAAACCCAGATATTTGTTAGGTACTATGCCCACACCCAACCTTTCTATCACTGAATTACTCCCCTCGGGGCTCACATATTTCCCTTCTGTTAGGGATCTATTGATCTTGTTAGTTTGATCTGGTCAACTATGAACAACATATGCTGAATTATCAATGGCATTTAGAGTCACAAGGCAATTTTAATTTAACCTGCACACTCTCATAGTGATTGCGGATTTTCCATGTTACTCAAGTACTAATTGTATATTGGCAATGTACAGATAAAAACAACAAATTCATGGGTGGGTGGTCACCGTTGGTAATCGGAGCGGTGCTCTTTTCTCTGTTGCATCCCGGTCTGCTTTTCCAGTGTCCGGGAAACGATCGAAAGGTTGAGTTCAAATCCATGAAGACCAATCGCAAGGCTATGTTCTTTCACTCTATAATATTCATTGTTATCTACGCAATTATCATTAAGTTCTCTCATGGCAAAATCTGATATGTACCCACTGATGATACATGGCGTCTGGGATGAATTTTTATTTTCATATTTTTTTGGATTCTACATTCTAATCCATCTAATGTACTCATAAGTTTATGTTGTTCAGCAAACACATTCTGGTTGGTCAAGCCGTTGAATTAATAATTACAAATTATGAATTCGACTTTTAACTAAAACAGCGCCCGTGTATTTTTTATTTTTTAAAAATTTGTTTTAAATTTTTTAATTTTTTAAGACTTGATAATTATAAAGTATTTAATACATTAATAGTTAATACTAAAATATTAAATATTAACAAAAAAAAACATGTATCGTTTGAACAATATAGGATTATTTATCTCAAAACGATGTTGTTTTGAGTGAAATAACCCATTTAAAAAAAAAAAGGGGGGGAGGGGGGGGGGGGGGGGGGCAATAGCTAATCGGTCGACTAGGCGACCTAGTCGGCGTAGTCGATGCCTAGAAAGCATAGTCAGTGCCTAGGCGTCCTAGGCCGTCAGCGCTTAGGCGGCCTAGTCGGCCGTCTAGCCGTCTAGTCACCTAGACCACCGATTACGGTGATACGCTAGGCTGCCAGTCAGAGCTTAGTGCCTAGGCGCCGATTAATCGGTGCCTAGGCGAGACTTTTGCAACACTGCTAATTACATATATAGTATTCTAAACATCAACAAAAAAAAAAAAACAATTTAATAAGAAATTCACAACAATATTGATCACTAAAATTTATAATAATAGAATTGTTCAAATAAAATATTTAATAATATAATTACTAGTTGCATAAAATTAAAATATAATATTTAAAAATATATATAAAATTATACTTGATAATTTCATATACTACAAGGCATCAAGCAAAGAGCTATTATTTGCAATAGCAATTTGGGACTGCGAAAAGCAATAAGGTACTACTGTTTGTAGCCCCAAATTGTTGTTGCGAGTATTAGTCCGCTATTCGTAGTAGCATGGTGTTAATATATATATATATATATATATATATATATATATATATATATATATAGGGTTGAGTTCAAATGAGGACAACAATATATAGAGGACTGAGAGGACAAATAATGGGCACACAACAAATTAATGTTGGAAATATTGAACCAAAATCGATTTAATATCGTAAAATAATATTTATATAGGGTTGAGTTCAAATGAGGACAACAATATATAGAGGACTGAGAGGACAAATAATGGGCACACAACAAAGTAATGTTGGAAATATTGAACCAAAATCGATTTAATATCGTAAAATAATATTTATATATACACACAAGTATATAAAATATTATTTAATATTTTATCCGAAATATATATATACACAAAAATATATATAAACGGACCCAAAGGTTATATATATATATATATATATATATATATATATATATATATATATATGTATATCTACGATAAAGATATACCAATATATATCAACCAGAAATTGGAACTAATAATCCTCAGATTATAAGTCCAATCCAACAAATATATCAAAGATGGAGAACGGATTTTTGCTTAAAAACATAATCCAAAACACGAAAGAAGGAGAAGGAAGAAAGAGCAGTACGAGTTAGGCAAAGTGCCTGTCTTTCCTTAAAACCTTATTTGCTATCTCCCAAAAGTGTTTGGAGCGTTGTGGCCTAGGTTTCCCAGGATAAAACGTATAACGGTTCAACGTTTGAGCACCCAAACGAGTGAACCCGGCGATCAAGAGCACGGGCAAAACACAGTAGCAAGAAAGGAGTAGGAGCAAAGTTTTGAGAAGAAAAAATGCTTATCTTTGTGTGTTGTGTCTCTCTAGCTCTTCCCTCACGTTGTAAATCACTTGCTCCTCCTATGAACTTATATAGGAGATTAGGATTTAATAGCATATTCATGGCACATAAAACCCAACATTAATCCAATTTAATAATTGAATAATAACGTTTGAAATGGTCGTACTTATTATCAAAATAATATCAACGGTCACGAACTTAATATCCGATTAATTCGTACCGATCGTAACGATCCGTTTCAAATATCTGAGTGACCGAGAAGTCAGTACAAATCCGAAAGGTTAACGAATTGAGACCGGGAATCACACCCGAGCGATCCGCGAGCACCAAAAGGTGCAGCACGAAATGAGCTCACAAAAGGAGCTCATTTCTCCCAAGCACGAAACTGTGATCAAAAGCACGAAATTTATGCTTTAAATCCCAAATTCTACTTTAATCTTTTCCCAAAGCTTAAACTCTCGTGCTTAGTTATTTAAGCATTTCAAAGCTTAATAACTAAATGAACATTCATGCTGCACCTTTCGTCCATGCATCATTAAGCCACGAAAGGTGCATCCCAATTCCAAAACTTTATATTTAAGCTTTCAAAGCTTAATCCCCTTAAGCTTACAACACCAACTTTCGTGCAGTGCAACGAAAGTTATTAGAATGCTAATTTTAATTAGCATCTAAACTTAAGTTTTTGACTTCTCTCAAATAGGTTCACTTTGAGAATCAATTTCTCATTCATCTATTACCCATTTTGAGCGTACATTATATCAAATTCTTCGTCTCACTACGAAGAACCCGAATCCACATTGACCTGACCCAAATCGGAAGTGGATCCCACATATATTTGTACCACAAAATAATCACTCAAAATGCCATTTTAATGCTATTTTTCCAACAATTAATACCAGGCACACAACTTAATACATAATGGCACACAAGAATAAATGTAAACATCGGGTTTCGAACCCAGGCTCTATAAATTAACAAATCTAGCACGCGACATACAAACTGTGGCACACGACTACATTCGGCCATGTACACGACATACCGACTAATGGCACACACTACATCTGTCCTCACAGTCCTCTATAATATACTTGTCCTCATTTGAATACACATCTATATATATATATATATATATATATATATATATATATATATATATATATATATATATATATATATATCTCTGTGTGTGTGTGTGTGTGTGTGTGTGTGTGTGTGTGTGTGTGATCTAATGCGAATGACTCCACAGGTGAAAAATGCTTGCAAATTTCAACCATTGAATTCATCCAGATCTGATTCTCTTAAAAAAAATTCCTTTCGAATTAATAAAAATAGTGCACCTGAAAGCTTAAAACTATGCACTTGAAGATACAAAAATATCCACTTGAAGGCAAAAATTCTGCACTCGAAGGTAAATAGATGGGCAATTGGTGCAATTTATGGTACCAAAATGGATTTTATTCAACTTAAGTGTTATTAAAGCAATTAACCATACAAATCGTTTGTAAATCTCACAAATTTCATTAGAAATTTAGTTATATGTAATTAAAAAGAATGCAAAAGATATAACAAATATTGTCGCAGAATTGTGCACTTGAAGGCAAAAAACTATGCACTTGAAGGAGTTGAAGACATAAAAATGTACACATGAAGGCTAAAAACATGCACTAAAAGGAAAAAAAAAAAGGGTTCACTGGAATGCTAAAGCCCTGTTTGGTAAAATAGTTAGTCTATAGGCTAATTTTGGCTTATTTGACCACTATTAGATTTTTGATTTGGTTAAAAAATAATATAAGTGTTTGGTTAATTTGCTCTTTGTAACTCCAAAATGCTAAAACTCAAAAAGCTGCTCAAAGCAACTTTTTTCAATTAGTTTTTTGAGAAAAAAAATTATACCAAACAGCTATCAAATAACATCTAATTTACCAAACACCTTTCTACAATCAGCTAATGTTATCAACTAGTTATACCTTCTAATTAACCCAACCAGCTAACAGCTATTAGTCATTTACCAAAAAAGGCCTTTTTTTTTACACAATAGTAAGACACACATACACTTGTAGGCATTAAATTGAGCACTTGAAGGCTTAAAGAGGATCACTAGAAGGCAATGGAGAAAAAAATACATACACTAAAAGGGAAAATTCGAAGGAAATTAATTGTGCACTCTTAGAAAGGAAAACATGCACTTGAAGGCTACAAAACGTGCACTTGAAGGCTAAAAATATTCACTAGAAGGCAAAAATTGGTTTAATGGAATGCTAAGTATTTTTTTAAACACAATAGTAAGACACACATGCACTTGTAGGTATGAAATTGAGCACTTGAAGGCATAAAGAGGATCACTAGAAGGCAAGTAACAAAAAGACACTAAAAGAGAAAATTCGAATGAAATTAATTCTGTACTCTTAGAAAGGAAAACATGCACTTTAAAAGGCTAAAAACATGCACTAGAAGGGAAAAAGGGTTCAATGGAATGCTGAGTATTTTTTTCAACACAATAGTAAGACAAACATGCACTTATTGCATGAAATTGAGCACTTGAAGACATAGAAAGGATCACTAGAAGGCAAGAGGAGAAAAAGACACTAAAAGGAAAAATTTGAAGAAAAGTAATTGTGCACTCTTAGAAAGGGAAATTTGCACTTGAAGGCCAAATTTTTGCACTCAAAGGCACAAAGATGTGCACTCAAAGGAGAAGCTATGTATTGAAACAAATTAAAATAGATGCACTACAAGAAGATAAATATGCACTTGAAGAAGGAAACATGTGGACTCGAGGAAGAAAAAATGTGCACTCGAATACAAAGGCAATCTGACTTACTCAAAATTACAAAAATACCACTACGCGTTTTTTAATAAATCTTCAATCTGAGTTGTTAATTTGGACTATATCTATGGTTGAGATTAAACATTATTATTTTTTTGTCTAAAGTATCCCTTCGCATTTGATCCTTTATAGGAGGAGAAAGAAAAAATTGCACTACAAGAATGTTAACATTTAGCGATGTTTTTTAAACGTCAGTAAAAATAAAAATACGTCGCCAAATGTCTTTACTGACGAAATAAAAACGTCACCCGGACCGTCGGGTTAGCGGCGTATGGAAAGGTATTACTGACGAAGTTAATTTTTCGTCATAAAATATTACGATTACTGACGTTTTTGCATGGTCTTGATAATGTCATGGCATACATACTTTTTGAAACGAAACATTAACAAAAACGTCGGTAATAGTTTGTGACGAAGTAAAATATTTCGTCAATAAATGTGTTTTTACTGACGTTTTTTTATACAATTATGCTTGTCATGAATAAATTTAATTGGTGACGAAAAATGAAATGCGTCAATAAAATAACA